TCGCGCCGCTCCAGCCCCTCCACCAGCATGCGGAAGCCCTCCAGCCCCGCCGCGCTGGCGGTGGTGGCCAGCGCCACGCGCGCGGGCGCCGCGTCGCGCAGCGCCTCGGGCAGCAGCTCGGCCACCACCATCCAGACCATGCAGCCGGCGGCGAAGCCGAGCGCGGCGGGGAGCACGGGGCGGAAGGCCTCCACGAAGGCGAAGGAGGGCAGGGCCACCAGGGGCTGGGGCATGCAGGACAGCACCGCCCAGAGCAGGGCGGGGGCAGGGCGCAGGCCCTGGGACACCAGCACCGTGGCGGTGGCCAGGCCCTCGGGGATGTTGTGCACGCCGATGGCCAGCGTGGTCAGCAGGCCCTGTGTGTTGGGGGTTGGTGGGGGCAGGGTGGATGGGGAACCAGTGGGGATGAGGAAAGGGGACGGACTGGAGGCCGTGGGCGAGGGTGGCGTCCAGGGAGGAATCGCGAGCGGGCCTGCGCATCCCCAGCCCACCTGGGTCCAGCCGCGGCGGCCGGAGAAGGAGACGCCGACGCCGCAGCCCTCGCCGATGGCGTGGGCGGCCATGATGCCCACCATCATGGCCGCGCGCCGCGCCGCGCTGCCCCTCAGGTCCTGGAACTGCGAGGAGGAGTGTGGGGGGTGGGAGGTGATGGGGTATCAGGCGCGAGCTGCTGGGTGGCTGGGTGTCCAGAGAGGGAACGGAGCGACAGACAGACCCCGCCCGTCAGGAGCCCGGCACCGGGATTAGACACGCCGGGAGCAATTAGCATCACCCAGTGCGCTTGGCCTCTCCCAACACCCCCACCCCAGACCTTGATGTCTTTGCAGGAGGCCATGCGCTCCTGCATCCACTGGATGAACAGCGCCCCGCACAGCACGCCCACGAACACTCCGCCGCCGCCGTACGGCTGGCCTGCAGGAAGCTTGCGAGTGGGACAGGATGAGGGTCGGGGGAAGGATGGCGCATGCAGGACTATATGCAGGCTGGGTAAGGGCGTGGCGCCGCTGCACCCCGCCTGTTGGGAGCCCCAGAGCGCAGCTGCCGGCATCGCCACCGCGCCCTTCCCCGCCCTTCATCCTCTCGCCCCCCCCCCTTCCTCACCTTCATGGATGAGGTCAAAGGAGGCGGCCAGCATGACGCCGCAAGCGCTGGCCGTCGCAATCGCCGCGTAGGCCGGCGACAGGCTGCGCACGAAGAAGAAAGGGAGAGCGCCCAGGCCCGCCGCGCTGGCCATGCACAGGGTCATGAGGAGCACCGTGGCGGCCGACACCTTGGGCGGGGGGGGAGGCAAGGGGTTGACGGCCTCCACCCGCTGCAGCACCCGCGCGCCGTTGCCGGCCTTGGCATTGCCCAGTCCGCTGCTGTCCTCGCCCTCCAGAGATTTAAAAATGGCGTCTCCAGACCCCTGAACCCCCTGTAGGTCGCGGGAATGGAACCCAAGGTGGGCGGCAGGCTCGTGCACGGGCATGCAAGGTGAGTGCCTCGACCCAGAAGGACAGGGTGCCCACCCTCGAGCCGCACCTGGCATGCCACGAGGAGGAGCAGGGACAGGCACACGAATCGGAATCTCATGACGATATGTTTTTGTCTATGGACTGCTCGGCAGGGAGGCTGCGTGCTCCTCGAACATCAAGCACTGAGGTACTCCGGTACACAAGCAGTTAACCGGGCCACCTATGGCGCACGCCCGTCGTTGTGGCTCGCCAGCTTCGGGATCTAAACAGGAGCGTGTGGTGGTGTTTCACTCGTCCCTGATCTGTCCAACAGCATCAGGCAATCATTCCCCTCTTCGCGTACAGCGTCCCCAGGCTACGTGCAACTTTTGCGGGTGGGCCAGCGCGCGCTCGATTGTCCGATGGGTACCGTCTCCTCCCGGGAGGGCAGATCATTCGAAAGCTGGTTCGTCGGGCTTCTGCCTGAATATGAGCACGTCGTATTCAGTTGAACACAGGGCTGAATACGACTGATCAAGCCTCTCACGACCGACCCATCGCGGCAAGGCCGGTGACTTTCACACTGGACATGGAGCGGTGAGTCCTGGGTGCAGCTGGTTCTGGAGCCGATGGCCTGGGTACTGAGCCCTGATCAAGGTGAGGAAGGCGTATTATGGCATCTATCCAGGATTCTCCCTGGGACAGGGTGCCGGTGCTGTCGGCGAGCGCCCTGCCCTTCCCTGTCCCACCACCGAACTGGCACACCTTTCCTTGTCTTCGCGCAGGGGATGGCCCTTCCCTGGGCGACAATCCATTGTTCGGCAGCATACATGTCCCCTCCCCGGGCTCTGTCGCCGGGCTGAACCCGGCCTGGTCCCCCAGCAGCAGCGCACATCCCTGTACCAGGGGCCCGCCATCCTCGGCCGTCGGCCTGAGGCGGCTGGGGGACGCCGTGCCGGCCCAGGCGCCCTTCTCGGCGCGTGCCGGGCCTGGCATGGCCCCGACTCCAGACGCCACGCAGGGCCTGGTGCCCACAGCCCACGCCGACCCCCTACCCCCAGAGCCCCACCCCGAGGTCGCCGACTTTGCGCGGGTGCTGCTGGAGGTCATGCAGGGCGGCGTGGACGCGGGCGAGGCGCTGACCCTGTACGCGGGCATCTGCGAGGAGCGCGCGCGGCAGCTGACCGAGCTGGCCGGCAGCCAGCTGGCACGCGCCAGGAAGCGCGGCGCGCTCCTGCGCGCGGCCTCCGACCTGGCGGGCGAGGCTGCCACCTGGCGCCTGCTCTGGCACCTGCACGGCGTGGCGGAGCCGGACTTCCCCGCCGGCACCGGCGGCGGCTTTGTCCCCGGCGCGGGCCAGGCCAAGACCGCGCGTCAGCGCGCCGCGGACCTCGTCGCGCTCGACCCGGAGCTGAACCGCGCCGCGCGCGCCGTGGCCTGGCTGGAGGGCCTGGCGGCGGCCGCGCTGGACGGCGAGGGCCCGCCCGCCGTCGGCTCGGGCGACGGCGTCTGGCGAGAGACGCGGCGCCGCATCGAGTCGGGGAGGCTGGGCATCACCAGCGTGGACGGTGAGCTGGAAAACGGGGGACGATGGGGGAAGGGTGGCTCGGGGCGGCGAGGGACGGGGAGGGGCCCAGGCATGCAGCGCCGGGGCCCGACGACTCAGCACCCTTGCAGGCGCCATCTGGACCAGGACCCCGTGCGGGGCTGCACCTTGCGAAAGAGCCGGACCTTGGCCTTCCGGTCAGATGCGCAGCCCTGCAAACCGCATGCAATCCTTCAACCCCCCCAACCGCAGCGTCCCAGACCGTCACCGAGCTGGACCCGGACGCTCCCACGCGCCAGGCCGGCCGGCGGCTGGACCCCGACAACGCGGCGGACGAGGAGCGGCTGAATCGTGCGCTGTGGCGCCTGGTGCGCGCGGGGCGTGTGGCCGAGGCGGCGGCCCTGGCCCGGGGCGCGGGGTGCCCCTGGCGCGCCGCCGCGCTTTCTGGCGGCGGGCCCCGCGGCCCGCTGCCCCTGGGGCCCCCCGCCTTTGACGACCTGGAGGCGGAGGGGCCGGAGCTGGAGTCGGTGGAACGCGCGGCGCGCCAGGCGCTGGCCGCCGAGGTCGAGGACGGCGCGCGGCGCGGCGCGTGGCGCGGCGCCTGCGGCGCGCTGGCCTCCGCGGCCTCCGCGGCGGTGGTCGACGGGGACGCGGCCGCCGGGTCCCCGCGCCCCGGACTCCCCGCCGCCGCAGCCGCCGCGGCCGGGCCGGCCGCGGCGCGATACGAGGCGGCGACCTTTGGCGCGTTGTCCGCCAACCTCCCCGCCGTGCTCCCCGCCTGCGCCTCCTGGG